TGCGTTAATGTCTATACAATTGTATATTGCGTTATTGTCCCTGCAACTGTATATTGCGTTAATGTCCCTACAACTGTACACTGCGTTAATATCCCTACAACTGTATGTTGCGTCAATGTCTATGCAACTGTATATTGCGTTAATGTACATACAACTGTATATTGCGTTATTGTCCCTGCAACTGTATAGTGCGTTATTGTCCCTACAACTGTATATTGCGTCAATGTCCCTGCAACTTTATATTGCGTTAATGTCCCTGCAACTTTATATTGCGTTAATGTCCATACAACTGTATATTGCGTTAATGTCCATGCAACTGTATATTGCGTTATTGTCCCTGCAACTGTATATTGCGGTAATGTCCATACAGCTGTACACTGCGTTAATGTCCCTATAACTGTATATTGCGTCAATGTCCATACAACTGTATATTGCGTTAATGTCTATACAATTGTATATTGCGTTATTGTCCCTGCAACTGTATATTGCGTTAATGTCCCTACAACTGTACACTGCGTTAATATCCCTACAACTGTATGTTGCGTCAATGTCTATGCAACTGTATATTGCGTTAATGTACATACAACTGTATATTGCGTTATTGTCCCTGCAACTGTATAGTGCGTTATTGTCCCTACAACTGTATATTGCGTCAATGTCCCTGCAACTTTATATTGCGTTAATGTCCCTGCAACTTTATATTGCGTTAATGTCCATACAACTGTATATTGCGTTAATGTCCATGCAACTGTATATTGCGTTATTGTCCCTGCAACTGTATATTGCGTTATTGTCCCTACAACTGTATATTGCGTTAATGTCTATACAACTGTATATTGCGTAATGTCCATACAGCTGTATATTGCGTTAATGTCCATGCAACTGTATATTGCGTTAATGTCTCTACAACTGTATATTGCGTTAATGTCCATAAAACTGTATATTGCGTTAATGTCCCTACAACTGTATATTGCGTTATTGTCCCTACAACTGTATATTGCGTTAATGTCCATACAACTGTATATTGCGTTAATGTCCATAAAACTTATATTGCGTTAATGTCCATACAACTGTATATTGCGTTAATGTCCATGCAACTGTATATTGCGTTAATGTCCATACAACTGTATATTGCGTTAATGTCCATAAAACTTATATTGCGTTAATGTCCATACAACTGTATATTGCGTTAATATCCATGCAACTTATGTTGCATTAATGTCCATACAACTGTATATTGCGTTAATGTCCATGCAACTGTATATTGCATTAATGTCCATACAACTGTATATTGCGTTAATGTCCATACAACTGTATATTGCGTTAATATCCATGCAACTTATATTGCGTTAATGTCCATACAACTGTATATTGCGTTAATGTCCATGCAACTGTATATTGCATTAATGTCCATACAACTGTATATTGCGTTAATGTCCATAAAACTTATATTGCGTTAATGTACATACAACTGTATATTGCGTTAATGTACATACAGCTGTATATTGCGTTAATGTCCATACAGGTGTATATTGCGTTAATGTACATACAACTGTAATTGCGTTAATGTCCATACAACTGTATATTGCGCTTATAACTCTACAACTGTACATTTCGGGAATGTCCCCACAACTGTATATTGCGTTAATGTCCATACAACTGTATATTGCGTTAATGTCCATACAACTGTATATTGCGTTAATGTCAATACAACTGTATATTGCGTGTATGTCCATACAACTGTATATTGCGTTAATGTCAATACAACTGCACATTGCGTAAGGAAAGGTTTGCGGTCTAACATGGTCCGGACAAACGACTTTTCGCTGTCAATGCAAGTATGAGACCAATATACAACTGTACACGGGTAACCATCGTCAGACATTACAGACAGACTGGCAGCAAACACGACAGGGCATGATCAGGCGATGCCACATGGTGATCGCCAATTGTACAACTTTCATTTGCGCAAACTGTTCCTCACAGCGACGGAAACGGCAGCGTTAGGGGCTGATCGTTTATATGAGCATGTTCGTGAACCAACCACGATCTCCCACGATATGTATCACGATCCCGTTGCAACATCGCGAAAGTGTAGCAAAAGAAAAAGTAGGAGAAACAGGAATTAAATTATTTAATTAAATTATTTAATTTCGCTTGGAAAACTCTTCCTTTCTGAACTTGAAAGCTTTTGCCAAAGGTTTGAAGTGGTTTGCATCTGTTTATCTTTTACTGTTACAAAAATAGTAAACAACAAAAAACAAATGCAGCCATGCGATTTCTGTAACTGTATGGAGAATACTAGGCGAGTTTCCATGACGGCTGTATTCTCAACTATATAGTAGTATCGTTTCCAAAGTAAAATCCCGTTTATATTCTCTAAGTTTTGATGGTTTGTTTGTTAATTAGTTGTTTAACGCCGCACTCAGCAATATTCCAGCTATATGACGGCAGTCTGGACCAGGCAATGACAATGAATGACATCATGAGCATCGATCCACGCAATTGGGATACGATGACATGCATCAACCAAATCAGCGAGACTGACCACCCGATCCCGTTAGTCGCATCTTACGACAAACAGTCGCCTTTTACGGCAAGCATGGGTTGCTGAAGACCTATTCCACCCCGGATCTTCACGGGTCCTAAGTTTTGTAGGAGGGTGGATGTTTTGTAGGCGGAGGACTGCTGGACAGATCATGGACAAACCAGGGGAGTGGCTATGTGAAGGTGAGCTAAAATTGTGTTTAGATTTTAAGTTGTGGATGCGAATGTTGGCCAGTGCTGTTAAACAGAAGGAAAGCATAACGATTGGCTTACAATTAGTCAGGTCACAGAGTCTGTCCACCTGGTCCCAAGTCCCCATGACTGGGGACTTAGTCGGACATGGAACCCCCACAGATTACAAGTCAAGTTTACAGAGCTCTGCAGGACGTAGACAACTTGTGGAGTGATTGTGACGCTTTTGGTTATTTCTTACAATCAACAAATTGATGTAGAAGACTCACGCCCATCACAGGTGTATAATTTGGAAAGATGTGTATGCTTTTGGAAATTTCTTACAATCAACAAACTGCTGTAGAGACTCACGCCCATCACAGGTGTATAATTTGGAAAGATGTGTACGCTTTTGGAAATTTCTTACAATCAACAAATTGCTGTAGAAGACTCACGCCCATCACAGGTGTATAATTTGGAAAGATGTGTACGCTTTTGGAAATTTCTTACAATCAACAAATTGCTGTAGAAGACTCACGCCCATCACAGGTGTATAATTTGGAAAGATGTGTACGCTTTTGGAAATGTCTTAGAATCAACAAACTGCTGTAGAAGACTCACGCACATCACAGGTGTATAATTTGGAAAGATGTGTATGCTTTTGGAAATTTCTTACATTCAACAAACTGCTGTAGAAGACTCACGCCCATCACAGGTGTATAATTTGGAAAGATGTGTATGCTTTTGGAAATTTCTTACAATCCCTAGTCTTAAACTTGGGAGGCAGTGTGACGCTTTTGATTATTCCGGATAATCAGCAAACTAATATTGTAGCCTCACACTCATCAATGGATTAAAACTTGTGGAGTGGCTTTGACGCTTTTGGTTATTTCTTACAATCAACAAACTGCTGTAGAAGACTCACACCCACCACTAATCTTAAACTTGGGAGACAGTGTGATGCTTTGATTTTTCCTGATAATCAGCAAACTAATATTGTAGACTCACACTCATCAATGGCTTAAAACTTGTGGAGAGATTGAGGTGCATATGTTTCTTGCTATTTCTTACAACCAGCAAACTGATGAAGTAGCCTCACACCCATCACTGATGTGAAACTGGAGACACTGATCCGTTTGGGTTATTTATCCCAATCAACAAAGCATAAATAACAACCATGTCATTATGAATGTCAGGGGAGCATGTGAATTGACTTTAATGTTGCCTTTAGCATAATTCCAACCATATCAAGCTGTGGGACACTAAGATTTTGCTTCACACATTGTTCCTGTAAAGGAAATCAAAACCCAGGGCTTCAGCAAAACAGGCTACAGGCTTCAAGCAGGATGGTACCAGTGTGACAACAGATGGTGATGGCGCCACTATATGGCTGAAATAATACGGAAGCTATTAAATTTTAACTCACACACTCACTGATGATACCATGGGACACATCATAGTTAAAAGTGGATAGCATTATATTGAAAATGCCCTCATTTTGCTTGACGACGGGCCAAAATCAGGCCCATTGTAAGGTGACGTCATATTGTTGTGCAATAGTGACATCATCTGGTTTGTTCTATGACGTTTTCATATTTGTAAAAGTGGGTCAGTGACCTTTGTTGTGTGTTGATTGCAGTAAGTGTTTCAAAATCGATATTGCTGTTTATTTTTATTTGATAACGAATTCTATTTTTTTAGCTATCTTGTCGGGCAGTTAATGGAAGACCTCAGGCTTCTGCAAATGATATGTCCTGAGAAATAGTGTTAACCTATAACAGGGATAGCCGACACAATACACTCGAAGCTCACCAGTCCTTGTTTGATCCCCTTAATGCTGAGTGCATTGTGGGGAAACAAGTACCCTCTTTTACATCTTTTGGTGCGACTTGGGCCGGATCTATGCACCAGACCATGGAGGTAGTCAGCTGGAAAGTAATTCATAACTTGATGTGACTGTTGTAAAGTAGGTAATGTTTTGTTAGAGGATTATGTTACATTGGCTGTGCAGATAGAAAAAAAACCAAACTCTCTTTTGAAAAGTGCTAATGTCAGAATCGACAAAGGACAATTGTACTGGAAGTTAATGTACTGTTCAATATGATGACACAATCTATCAACTGTGAAGAGTATACATGTAAATGGATCTTTCTTAATGACAGATACAGGCAGTGCACATTGTAATGTTGTTAAATGTTGCTGCTGCTTGTTTCCAATCCATGCCCTCCTCTTCTGAGATTCAGTGTTGAATTTCACCATCACAACACACATACAAAAAAAGGTTTAAGATGAAATATCTTTAATTGCAGTGGACAATAGCCCATAAAATACAACCTTACCATGTGACTTGGTCACATGACATTGATCACCTGACGTACATGACACTGATCACATGACCTGTCACATGACAATCACATAACCCATACACTGCATGACTTCCACATGACATGTTGAGAATCAAAGACTGAAGTTCATAGACCTTTTAGGATTTGAAAATAGTTCTGGTGATAACTATGGCTTTTTACAGGAGTGAGGCAAAAATTTGATTTTGTTGTAATTACAATCACCACATAAATATACATCGATCCACCATAATTAAAGCTTTGACTACAGAAATCTGAGGTATGTTTTATGATTAGAGCTATACTAAGATCACTGAGCATGAATAAGGATTGATATTTTTCAACATCTAAAGCAAAACATTGAACAGATTCTGCAGGCTACTGATGACTGAAAGCAAATTTCATTCTAAAGCCCTCAAAAATGTTTTTCGTGTCAATTAAAGGAAGAATCAGATGATCGCCTCCTAAATACAAGAACAAATTTATACATCAAATGTACATATCATACACACTTCATGGCACATAATATTCATATGACTATAGACCAACATGGGTTCATAATTACCCTCATATATCAGGAAAATAGTGATATATAGATTTACCTGAAAACAATAAGAAATAATGATTCATCTAGCTTCAAAACAAGTCATTTCTCATATCAAACTGAGCAAATATATAATCAAAGAGGCAGATGATTTTACAAAATGTCCACCACACATTTCTAAGATAGATACATATTTGGTTCAAAAGAAAACAGCATTTTCTCTTACTTTTTCAAATAGCTTGTGTTGAAGAAAGAAACCATGGAAACTGGAGTGAAAATTGAAGAAGCTAGATGAACATTGAGAAGAAAAATCCCTTACAAGGTGTGCAATAATTTCTTCAAGGATAAGAGTTCAGCAGATTTCATTCCCTGTTTACAATGATAATAATTACAGAGTACATGGGAATATATTGAACTTGGATCTAGACTAATGTGGGTTTCTTGAGGTCTTCCTTCCTGTTTGGGGCCTCAGACCCACTAAAAAGGAATCTCACTATTTAGCTAAGAACGTACCAAACATGTCTAAAAGTCCTCCAAGACAATGACATGTATATAATAATAACAACAAAACTCTCTAACATTTTCATTGTAATCTGTGTACATGGGTTCTGTGAAGAACTGCTTATTGTCTCATTGCAGAGAGAAAGTTACTGTACATTATAGCTAAAATAAATAGAATTATCATTAAACCGTCCACGTAAGCCGTCAGAAATAAGCGGGCCACTGTAACTTGATAATGCCCTCATATTGCTGGAGGACGGGACATTATCACGCCTAGGGAAAGGTGACGTCACGTACAATTGTGACGTCATCTGGTTTGTTCTATGATGTTTCCATATTTGTTACAGCGGGTCAGTGAAATTCGTGTTGATTGCAGTAAATGTTTCAAACCGATATTGTTGCTTATTTCTATTTCATAACAAATTCTATCCATTTTAGCTATAATAATGGTAACACTATTTTTCAGGGCATTATCAGTTGCAGAAGCCCTCGGTCTTTTCAACTGCCCTCCTTCGTCGGGCAGTTAATGGGAGACCTCAAGCTTCTACAAATGAGAATGCCCTGAAAAGAAGCGCTACCCTTATAGTACATTAGTTAACAATATGAAATGCAAGTTTCATGGACAGTGGTAAAGTTGAGAGATGAACACATGCTGATACCATATGTGGTCATTACTTGGCTTAAAGCTTTTAGAATGGTCACATGACCTTGAATCACAGTGTGTTGTCATCTCCAGGGCGACACTAACTAGAAGTCCTGTCTCGATATAGGTCAACATTTCACAAAATATGTACACAGTAATTAAATATTCAGACACACATTCATCATGTACAAAAACCTTCAAACAAACTCACAAGTAGCCCTTCATGTATAGAGCAGCCTAAACAATCATTCTCTCCCATTTGGACTGTATTGTACTAAGATTGTATGGAAAATGAGGAATTCTTGATAGTACAATTATTTTTTTCATTGGTTATTACCATTATGGCAGAAATTCTGGAAATATCGGATGTCTGAATTTGTGAGATGTAGTTGAAAATAACAAAGTTGACATGCATGCTCAAGTGACCAGCAGTGAACGTGAGTGAGTGAGTGAGTGAGTTGGGTTTAACACCTCTTTTAACAGTATTCCGGTTATATCATGGTGTGTCAGATTAATGTGGGAGGAAAGCCTGAAGTGATGCAGGTCTCAGATGTTTACCACTTTGGTGAAACCCACAAGCATAGGTATGGTTTTGCAAACCTAGAAACATAATCATAGGTTTCTGGCGTGCCCAGGAGGTGCAACTCTGCACAGCGAATTGTGGCGCCTTAGACGACAGGGCCACCCGTGCCAGAAGCAGTGAAAGTATTCAATAACTATTTCCTTACAGTGTTGTTTTAAAACCTGTTCTTTATCTGTACTCCGGTTATTCAGTTGCTTACCATCATGAAGGCCATTTCAAAGAATAGCTGTCTGCTACAGAATGGAGGCCATCATTTTGCAAGCATAGCGTGTCCTGTGTCAGATGATTAGCAACCATCAGAAACACTAGAGTGAGTGAGTTGGGTTTTACGTTGCTTTTAACAGTATTCCAGTTATATCACGGCGTGTCAGCTTAATGAGGGAGGAAAGCCCAAAGTGATGCAGCTCTCAGACGTTTAGCACTTCAGTGAAAGAAACACTAGAAATCTTGAGGACTGAACTATGGATTATTGGGCAACATCGTTATAAAATAAATATACCTAAATCAATCATCAATCAATAAATAGCAAGTTTCCTCTTACATTAGGATGCCCTAGCTCTGTTTGGCATTTTGTCATAAGGTTTAAGGGCCACCAAATTTCAAAGCTTAATTTGGCATTTAGCTGTTAAAATTGATGGCCACCTATTGTGACCAAAATTTATAGTGCTATAAATGTTGAAATACATACACCTATACAAAGACAGTCATAGGGCTAAAATGGATGTGCCTTATATGTCTTAAATGTCATATCAAGGCAAATACCATAGCATGGAGGAAAGTCAAGTCTTCAATGAGGCTGTTTGAGGATTTGTGTTACAATGACCTTTCACTCAATGCGCACATCCTCAACTTGGTCATAAACTGTCCCGTCACCTATACACCCCCACCTCTCCTGCATACATCCTGGATGCACATGCACCCTTGCAACACATCCACCCGTGACTCTCATGCACCCATGACTCACATAACCAAAATAAATGCATTTCTTCATCAGAATAAAACACCTGTACAACCTCTCCTGTAGTAAATATACACACACTGCTCCCACCTTCAAACAAGGTCATGGCCTAGTAATGACCCTGACCTCATTCAATGACTGGTAAAGTCCAATGTTTTACATTCTTGAACATACGATTATTCATTCGGCTGTTTGTTGTCATCCTAATATATTACATTTTTCACAAATGACACCGAGCTTGAAGTCAAAGCCACAAGATCATATCGTTTGTAACAATTCCTTGAAGTAACCTTCAAAGTTAAGAAGCAGTCCCGGAAGGAATCTCTGAGCGAAGGAGAATTCTTCACTTTTGTCTGCGATTACACAATTTTGGATTCCTCCAGGGACTATCAGTAAATGGATATAATACAGATGATTGCCAACATACATGTTAAAATTACTGGCTGGTGAGGCTCTGAATGTCAGACCCCAAACCAAAATGACAACACAAATAAATCATGATTTGATTCAGTCACAAAAGAGAACTATTTGATTGTTGACAAGTGGCAACAACACTCTGACATTTACACCACTTCATCAAATTCACCTCAAATCAGAGGTAACAGTGTGACAATTGTATATTCACTGAAATGTGCACAGTAGCAGTGTGACAGTATTCACTGAATATACACACAGCAACAGTGTCACTGTGATATATTTCACTGAATATTACACATAGTAAGTGGTATATTCACTGAATATACATAGTGTTACAATGATTATTCACTGAATATACAAATTGCAACAGTATAACAGTGTTACATTCACTGAATATACACATAGCAACAGTGTTATATTCACTGAATATACACATAGCAACAGTGTTACATTCACTGAATATACACATAGCAATAGTGTTACATTCACTGAATATACACATAGCAGCAGTGTTACAATCACTGAACATATACATAGCAACAGCGTTACATTCACTGAATATACACATAGCAACAGTGTTACATTCACTGAATATACACATAGCAGCAGTGTTACATTCACTGAATATACACATAGTGACAGTGTTACATTCACTGAACATACACATAGCAACAGTGTTACATTCACTGAACATACACATAGCAAGTGTTACAGTGGTACATTCACTGAAGACCTGCTGGATGACCTGGTCCACACATTGATGATGATCTGCATGATGCCCTCAATTCTCAAATGATTGATTGGTGTCCAGGATAAATAAAGCAATATTCATAGCCAGTTTGCACAATAATAAAAATATGACATTTATGAATAAAACTGGAATCAGTTCTGTGGCTCTTACAGAACAGCAGTAGAATCTATATTTCCAACAATGAAACAAAAACCATTCAGCCAATAGCAGTTAAATTTAACGACCTTCACCCTATAATGCTGTGCCATATATACCGGTATGTCTCATGCGTGTAACGCAATATTTACTTACATCAGTGTTACTCTGACTTCACCTGCATAATCCACCAGCACACTTCCTTAATACCTGAATGTGATTATGATAGTTATCAACTATTGACAGACCATCACAGCTACAGGAAACATGGCTTAAAAGGTCAACTACACCCAGTCAATATCAGTATAGGAAGGCTCCCTTCAATATTTCCACTATCTTCATCGGTAGTTGCTGAGAGCACTCTTAAAAGACATGATGGATATATATGGATATTTTACATTATAATTATTTTTTTCTACTCTGCTTCTTCAAGTTAATACATTCAGCCATAAAACATACACCTAAAATAAAGTGACACAGTCAACGTGGTCAGTTATCACCCCATGGTCATCTAACATATACTACGAAATATATTTTTGAAATGTGATTACATTGTTTCATTATGGTTTCATCACATGGAACAGAGGGTTTTTGAAAGGAATTGTACATCTGACAAAAGGGAACTGATGAAATGGTTCTGCTTCCCACTAGGGTCCAGTAAATACAGTGATAGAACCAGTCCATCCTTTTTGATACATTAGAGTTCTCCCTAAAGCCATGTTGATTCACTTGTCTTGCAGCACAGGAAAGACCTCTTACGGGATTGGGTGGTCAGGCTCACTGACTTAGTTGATGAATGTCATCGATCCTAATTGCGTGGATCGATTGTCATGATATTAATCACTAGATTGTCTGGTCCAGACTATATCATTTACAGACCGCTGTCATATAGCTGGAATATTGCTGAGCGCGGCGTTTAACAACAAACCAACCAACCTCTACTGAGTATATCTTATTTCTCATACTACTTTTAGGTATTTTCACAGAACTAATAAAACATCATAAAAAGGAGTACTGTTATGTTGAAAGTTACTTGATGACTTAAGGGGAGAAACCTCTTGCACGTCTTGCTCAGATAAACAGAAGTTATGGACGAGGATAACCATTCCCCGGGAGAGTCTTACTTTAGTTGAATTTGTTCCTAATTATCTACTTAAATTCTTTCCAATTAACCACATGTCCCTAATGTCAGTTTCATCTAGGCCGAATTTTTTCATAGGTAAAACGGTTTCCCTTTTCAACATATTCCCCATCTACGAGGTCAAATGTCTGATGCTTCACATAGTGAAACTGTTGTACTGCAAACTCATAGAACTCGTTCTCCATCCGCCATATTGGTGACTCCTGAATTCGGGCCAGGGTGTCTGGCTTGGGAGCAATCTTCTTGGTGGTTTTCCGCAGATGGGATTTGCGACCTGAAGCATAAACACATTTTTATCAACATTGTAACAAAATAGAGAGGCATTTTGTTGGGTAGGAATGCAATATTGTTTTCATACACATGTGACAGTATATGTGTTGGACACCACAGATCATACCTGTATGCAACAATGATGCCAGGAGGGTGAGGTTTCACTACAGTGTCAAGCCTCTAAATCAAAGTGTCTATTCAGCACAAAATGCAAGTCACATTATTACAACTACTTGTCTCTTTCAAAAAGCTGACCCATGAAGATCCGGGGTAGAATAGTTCTTCAGCAACCCATACTTGCTGTAAAAGGTGACTATGCGTATCGTAAGAGGCGACTAAAGGGATTGGGTGGTCAGGCTCGCTGACTTGGTTAATGCATGTCATCGGTCCCAATTGCGTGGATCGATACTCATGATGTCAATCACTGGATTGTCTGGTCCAGACTTGATAATTTACAGACCGCCGTCATATAGCTGGAATATTGCTGAGTGCGGCGTTAAACAACAAACAAACAAACACAAACTTTCAAAAAGCCATTTAAAATTATGATGATTTTAAAATATATATCAAGACGATATACAGACATCATCCTTATAAAAAATAAAAAATCGCTAATACTTGTTCGAAATCCGTCGAACACAAAAATATGTGAATGCGATGTGGGAACAATTGAGGTATATAACTGTCCAAGACATAAATAGAACCAATCTACATGACAATTTAGCCCTATGACAACAGGAAGTCATCAAGATGTGGGAAATAGCAACAGAAGGGAAACAAGTAGCATATTACATTGTTGTAAAAAAATAATTGGGTTAAAAAGGAACATTCTTATCACATCTACATCAATTACACATTACAAATTTGAAATTCAACAGTGGCACATCATTGCTTAAGGTGGGAGTATGATTTTACCCCACTTCTAGCACTATTCCAGAACTATCATGGCAGGCGACTTCAGAAATGGGCCTCTCACATTTTAGTGGAGAATCAATCTGGGTCCTTGGTGTGGCTATAAATGATTTAACCACTAGGCTGTGCCACTGGCCCCTTCAGGTAGAACCTTATTAAATTATCACCATGACATGTTGGGGCTGTATACCACAAGTGGATAATATACCACATATGCTCCAGGACTTCAAAAGTCTGTAGTAGGATATGACCAGAACAAATATGCAACTGTATTACAAAACTGTAGATTATTTTGATAAACAATAACAAGACCAAATTGATGTGAAGCCTGACAAAACGATATCCCACAATGATTTCAAACAAGACCAGATGGTTACATACAGACACATGGACATATGATCCAACTGCATGAAAACAGAGAGCAGGCATAGTAATAGAAAATGTCTATCTCAATCCCAGCTATACTGTGTCCATGATGTCTACACAAAACCATAGCAATGTTTCATCAGTCATCAAACTCATTAAAGTAGAGCTGTTAAAACAATCACAGCAATAAGAACACTTTGGGTCCAGTGTCACACATTAGAGCAGAGAGCAAAATTACCCAGGAAGACTGAGGATGGACATACTTAATTCATAAACTTTCAACCAGAATACAAGCACAGTACATAAGAGATTTATTTCACCTATTTACAATGATGGTACAAAGACGGATCCAAAAATGACAAAAATACAAACAATAGCTGTGATGATATCAGTAACGAGCATCAATTTGGTTCAGCCCATCTGAACATTCCTGAACTAATATGCCGTACCCCTGCAGTTCAACCCATAAGTTATTTATCCCAATCTTGCATATTGTAATGAAAAATCATGAACAAGATGACATTAGCATAAGACATTGGTTGGAGTGGTTCAGAGAACATCAAAAGTCTCCAGGAAGGTTAATCAAAAACAAGAGCACATGCCTAAAGATAAGCTTACCACTTTTACCAAGTCTATGCTAAGCAACTGTTCAATTTCTGAAATCTAAGTTTGTAGTTTAATGTCGCACTCAGAAATATTCCAGCTATATGACACCAGCCACACACTTTCAGGAAAATAAAACATGGAGCCTGACCAAACAATAATGTCCAGATGGATAGCTGACTTCTTGTGTCACTGAGTTTATAATAAGTATCTTAATACAGAACTATCATTCCCTCAGTGGTTGATAACACGAGCAACGATCAATGCCATATTGGTACAATGACAAACAAAAATGCATTAACTAGATTTCACAGTGTGAGTGAGTGAGTGAGTTGGGTTTAACGCCGCTTTTAACAGTATTCCAGGTATATCACGGCGTGTCAGCTTAATGTGGGAGGAAAGTGATGCAGGTCTCAGACGTTTACCACTTCGGTGAAACCCACGAGCACGGGTATGGTGCTGACAAACCTAGAAACATAATCGGGGCGGACTGGGATTCGAACCCACAATCATAGGTTTCTGGTGTGCCCAAGGGACGCAACTCTGCACAGCGAATCGCAGCGCCTTAGACGACTGGGCCACCCGTGCCCCCTAGATTTCACAGAAGACTAGTCTCACCTGAGTTGTACAGCTGGACAGCCCCTCGGAACATGCGTGGCAGAGTCGCCTCCAACACAGCAATGAAGTCACCAAGCTCCTCTGTTACACCTACCACCAAGTAATGATGGATGAGATTGTGCTTGGCCTGTTCTAGAGCCCACCTACTTCCGGGTACCCTGTAAAACAGAAAGTGGATAATTCAGAAACAACCTCCAGGTAATGATGGAATAGATTGTGCTTAGCCTGTTCTAGAGCCCACCTACTACCGGGTACCCTGTAAAACAGAAAGTGGATAATTCAGAAACAACCTCCTGGTAATGATGGAATAGATTGTGCTTGGCCTGTTCTAGAGCCCACCTACTTCCGGGTACCCTGTAAAACAGAAAGTGGATAATTCAGAAACAACCTCCTGGTAATGATGGAATAGATTGTGCTTGGCCTGTTCTAGAGCCCACCTACTTCCGGGTACCCTGTAAAACAGAAAGTGGATAATTCAGAAACAACCTCCTGGTAATGATGGAATAGATTGTGCTTGGCCTGTTCTAGAGCCCACCTACTACCGGGTACCCTGTAAAACAGAGAGTTTGTCATTCAGAAACAACCTCCAGATCATGATGGAATAGATTGTGCTTTAACTGTTCTATGGCCTGCCGACTACCAGGTACCCTATACCAGGATGTTAGCCATTTGCTATTACAAACCACATGGTCCATAGAAGACAATCCGTCAAATTTAACAAGATGCAGAGTTGAAGACAAAAATCAAAGATGATCAAGTGCTATTGTTTGATATTAGTTATGAACTGCCAAGCAGAATTAAGAGAAGATGGATGGAACTGCTGTTATATGGTTTTAGGAAAAACGACCAAAAGCACATAAATTTCTTAAATTTTCTGAAGAACTAATTGTGCTCATTTCACATAGCTCAATCAAATGAATAATCATAAATTCAAATAATAGTTAATTGTGTAATGAAATTCACATGTGTTTTTTTTAAGATTACAACTCAATTTCCCTATCGACCTTATTCTGAACATTCCATAAATTTGAAAGATCCATGAGGTTAAAATTGGTAATCAGCACTTTTTTCTCACAAGAAATCAGCATTAGAAAACAAATCAATCACATTTGGCTGAGACAGAGGAAATTGAAAATCAAATCAGAACTCTTTCAAGCCGATTAAATTTCAGAGATTTAAATCTGAAATGAAACAAGACTTCAGTGTGAACATGAAGCTATAAAACTATCTTCGACTATTGTGACCTGGCATTTCAGTTATTGTCCATTTTCTTAAATAACTAATCCATCACAAAACTAACACAAATTAGTTCCCTATCAATTATTTATCACGATAATTCATCACTTGCTTCTCATTATCAATTTTGGAGCGGATGCCATGCTATTTTCATCTGAAATAGAAACATCTTGTCTACCTTGCTGACATAGAAAATCAAGTTGGATAATATCTCAGTTCAATCTCATCACCGTCATGTGATGAAGGGCTCGTCAAGAAAAGTATAGATGGTTAGTTTTCGAGACTTGCTGAAATTTTCTTTCATCTTTCTCTGTGATGGAGCTGGGAGGTAAAGGTGGAACTAGGCTGCAGTTGTCATCACGACGGAATAGGTGATGCATTACTGTTACTTGAGCTACGTGTTCAACTAGTGTCAGTTTCTATCAGCATTACAATGACAAAGTTATTCATTACATTTTATCATGCTCAGTATATCAGGTGATTTCAAATTGCGACTTTTATCATGTGTTTCATGTCATACACTTGCCAAATACCTTCACTGCCCCGGGGCGTGCATAAAGATGCATGTTTATTAAATGAGTAAACATTTTGTTGTACCAGCATCCATTTTTGTTCTATTTGTAAACTTCCCTCCATACATTGATGTTTCAGATTTTTCTGAATTCAAAATTTAGAATTACCGTATTCGACGTAATAAGCGCACCGCTCTAATAAGCGCCCATGGCGATATTTGGATTATTTGCGGATAAATTGGCTAGTAAACAAGCCCAATTTGCATCCCTTCCGATTGATCAATTACTTATTTGTTCGGTATAATACGCACAGGTGTGTTATATGCACACTTATTTTTGGGCAATTAAATTCTGGAAAAATATATCTGTTGGACATAAACATTTCAGGCTGTCAGCATAAACAACGAAATCTATCTTTCAACTATGTTTTTTTCACCAAAATAATATTCTAATAAGAGCCCCCTATTTCTAATTTTGAGAGCGCCCCGGGCGCTTATTACGTCGAATACGGTATACAATATATTGTGATACATATGGCAAAACAGCCTTGTGGATCGCAAAATATCAAGAAACGGTACCAATTTGCTACACTTGATATTAGATTACTTTCAAATAAGTTCTGAAATAATACACAGTCAGTGAGTGAGTGATAGTCTTATTGTCTGCATACTTGATGGTGAAATATAACCACTTTTCTACACCAGTGTCTAAATACAGATTATGGCAGATAACAAACACAACTTTAATCTCTCCTCATCTTCCCGATTCAAAGGAGTCATCGTATCCCAATTGAGTGGATCGATGCTCATGATGTTAATCACTGGATTGTCTGGTCCAGACTCGATTATTTACAGAGCGAACGCTTTAACCACTAGGCTACCCGACCGCCCCTAGTCCGGAGTGATGCCGCTCTACCACTAGACCACAGAGGTGGTCGAGTCAATAGGAGAGACATAGAAGGGACATAACTTGTAATAGCCACTGGTGATGCTACTATCGAGCCACAAAATTCCAGTGCGGTTCAGCAATGCTGGGAACTTGACTTTATTAGTCAGGTAGTCGTGGGCAAATGTCCGAAAATCATGGCTTCAAAATGCAGGACAAACTGTCAACACATATTGATAACTTAGCAAGTTATTTAGTAGTCTTACGCCACAGTTTTACACCGAACATCACAGCTATATAGTTGCAGGATCTCGAAGTAATCCCATCTCCACATTACATAAGCTGTTGGTTGTACGAGCAATAATCCATGTCACATGTATGCAACACTTAGAAATTGGAGTGAGTGAGTGAGATTTTGCAGTTTTTATCAATTTTGTAACAACATTACATGGGCAATCCAACCCATTGTTTTGTGAGAGTGAAGTAAAAGTATCAACCACCAGGCTACCCCACTATCTATTGTGATTCTAGGTTAGACTTGGTCTTTAGCAACCCATGCAAGTTGCAAGAGGCAACTTAATGGATCAAGTTGTCAGGCTCAGTGACGGCATGTATCGTTCACGAAATTATTTTGGTCCAGACTTTATTATTTACAGGCCGCCATCATATAGCTGGAAGAATGCACAGTGCGACGTTTCACAACAACATGTACACATGCATGCACGCACACATTCGCGGACACTTAAAGTTCTCAAGCACTCCTCAGCTCTGGTGAGCTATTAAATATGTCAACAAAAAGTGTGACGGTAAACTTCCTGAAGCCTGCTTCGAAGAGAGTGTGATGAATGTATGGGAATATATTGCCATCTAAGTCCTACTTCATTAAATCTTTATGACCAGTTTCATTCCCTGTCAAAAATATCTTTCCCAGCGTTTGACAATTTACCATGTGTCATATTGATTAATACTCAGGTTACATGGACACATAAGATAGGTTGCTCAAGTTTCTAGTGTCCGGTTGCAGCAGCTTCAGGTACACACAGACAGATGCTACACACAAGCAGAAAATACAGATAATCCTTCTGTTCCTATCTATTTGTCTCTTCTCTGATAGAAGTATTGAGTAAACTCAAAAGACATTGTCTCAGCATAATACTGGCAGAAGCACCACAGAAAAAGTGCAACAGTGAATAAAGAGGGTACAGTATATCACCTGATCACAGTGGTCTCATAAATTGGCTAAGGAAATGCCTAACTTGTGGTTGATGGTGTAAGCAGTGATGGATATCTGCAGGTCACAGATGCTGGAAGCTTGTGACCCATCCCAATATCATCAATGGAACCCATGCCTCCTTTCTGCTGCCTTTTACCAATAAGTATTGATATGTGTAATGTGTTCTGCACCCAATCCTCCTTTCTGTTGCCTCTTACATTAAGTATTGATACTTGTAATATACTCCACACCCAATCCTACCTTTCTGTTGCCTCTTACAATAAGTATTGATACTTGTAATATTCTCCACACCCAATCCTCCTTTCTGTTGCCTCTTACAATAAGTATTGATACTTGTAATATACTCCACACCCAATCCTCCTTTCTGTTGCCTCTTACAATAAGTATTGATACTTGTAATATACTCCACACCCAATCCTCCTTTCTGTTGCCTCTTACAATAAGTATGGATATGAGTATTGTGAAATGCTTTCAAAATGTATTATTTCATGGCAACTGTGTCCGAGTTGGAAAGAACAAAATTTACTGCAACACTCAAAAATCTTTCATGACATGAAGCTCAAAGCAGCAGTTGTCTGACTATCATACAGGAGATTTCCCAAGCTGTGTAGTACTTTCTATGATGGACATAATCCATGAGTGACTGTGTTGTCAGTTTTAGGTTTATCATGCAACATAGCCAGTACAAGCTCAAGTTCAAAGCCAGGTCAAGACCTTGTACATTAGGGCTAGCTAGGCCACCAAGATGCCACAACTTTCTATGCCAGTTGTAATTAATCAATATTTGTGGCCACTAAAATTTCAATAAAAGCATTCACATTATTTTAACTGGGCAAAAACTAAGTTAGCTTTTAGCTACAGGGTTGTTGGATTTAGTGGCAGAATCCTATCATTGATGTTGATGTCAGGAAGAGAATTCACCAACACGATTGGTCATAATACAACTGGGCAATTTTATAGCTGCATTTATTGCTATTACCCTTTTTTTCAGCCATGGTTCAATAGTGACCGATATATTTATGCAGCCAGTATTGACTCTTAATTTAAAGTTCGAATGAATGGATTTGAAGAACATGCAAAACTAAAAGTTTCAGGCTTATTTTTTATATTTTTCATTAAAACATTTCAACGGATCTATCTGAAATGCCACAAATGTTTCTGAAAGTCATTTCATGATAAAACCAAGTTCTCAGCAAAACATATACAAATGCACTGACTTCTATTGCCAAAGAATATATATTGAAATATTGTGAGGTAGTCACCGACAGCAACCACATGATTCTTGTAGTGAACAATATCAACAGTAGCAGAGTCTGATAATATTTAGGAAATGAACACAGGTTAATAGCATGATGGGCTGATATCGCTAGGCTACCCCGGTGTACACAAAGGTACTATTTAGAATTCAGTCTGCCATTGGTTCGTGTTTTAAGGCATTTTGGTGACAACTGAAACTACTACCGGGTATTTAGACTTTTCAGGGTTAGAACTCAAAAGCCTTCCTAGCCTGGGTAAAGATAAAATACCCTTGTAATGTCAAAACAATCAGGGAAATTTGGACTCTCGAACAGGAATTTGTACTAGCCTCGGGGTAATGGGTATTGTGTGGACCACTGACACTATTGTTCAGACATTTAGAGTCCAACAGCTCATGTTAAAAGCACTGTGTGGATCACTGACACTATTGTTCAGACATTTAGCGTCCAGTAGTTGATTATTGAAGCATAGTGTGGACCACTGAAACAATTGTTCAGACATTTAGCGTCCAGTAGCTCATTATTGAATCATTGTGTGGACCACTGAAACAATTGTTCAGACATTTAGCATCCAGTAGTTCAATATTGAAGCATTGTGTGGACCACTGAAACAATTGTTCAGACATTTAGCGTCCAGTAGTTCATTATTGAAGCATTGTGTGGATCACTTAAACTATTGTTCAGACAGTTAGAATCCTGTAGCTCATTATTGAAGCATTGTGTGGATCACTTAAACTATTGTTCAGACATTTAGCGTCCAGTAACTCATTATTGAAGCATTGTGTGGATCACTTAAACTATTGTTCAGACATTTAGCGTCCAGTAGCTCATTATTGAAGCATTGTGTGGATCACTGAAACTATTGTTCAGACATTTAGCGTCCAATAGTTCATGTTAAAAGCATTTGTGTGGACCACTGAAACTACTGTTTAGACATTTCATGAGCTTGTGTCTTAAGACATTTCATAGATCCTTGATTTCCCATCCCCATTCTCATGGCCACCCAGAGAACCCCATATACATATAAAATGTTCTCCCACTGTGAAATCTGAAGTCATAACACAGGGGAGGTGTGGGGACAAGAGACAAGATAATTCTCCAAGTAAACAACCCACCCACATTCTGACATTCAATCCTACCCAGGAATCTTCAATTGATAACAAAAACCCATTAGCAAAAACCTGATTTATTTTTCTGCTTAACAGGTTTTTACTGCCCTTATCGTCTTTGTGTAAACAGTTTTATTAACTCTCCTGCACATATACGCAGCCTTGATGATGTTTCCCTGTGGGCGACACAGGCTTTCATAAACGGATTTGTACTTTGTCTCCTTCTTTTACATTATCTGTAACATAGCAACAGTATAGAAAACTGCACATGTATTTAATATTGCCATGCTTGAAGGAACCAAATCAGTTGTGAGTGTACAGAAAATCATACAGTCGTGGGATGAATTTTGGTTGAATTTAAATTTTTACACTTAATGCAAGACTATATCAAATGGACTGTCCAATAAAGATATTGATCTTTTATCACCTCCTGAGGATAATAACGAACTTGATAAAAAAGTGGATCAATTTGCTACACAAACCAAATGTGTGGCGTAAGTAATTATTGGTAATACCGTGTAAAGTAAATGGGTGATTATTCACATGGTGCTAATAAATCAGAGGACAAGTTGTGAGTCATGACATAAAATGAGTAACAGACGAACAGCGCCCCCTAGAACCATGCAATATGATGTGATAACGCCTTTCTGACATTATAAGCAATATCGTTACACTTTCATTTCGGAACAGAACTTGTAGAAGCCAAAAAACTCTCAATTATCAGTCCCTGCAGATAAAATATTGAGGGTGTCGCACAACTGTTACAAGGAGCGGACTGACTCATGATATTATCCCACTGTCAGAAAATGACATTCTTCCTATGGGTAGACATTGTGTCAAGATTTTCATCCAATCATTGAAACATTTGTATGGAGGCTGGATTTACGATTGAGTTAGTGACAAATGGGAATCTATGACCTTGTATGAGTTTCTGCAGGCTTTGATCAGGATAACGTATTTGGCATATTGGCAATTGTCGAGCACAGAAATGGGCTAGAATTTTGCTACTGGAACTTTCAAAGAGAGATTATTATATGAACATGATTAAATCTATAAGTAGCACGGTGCTCACTCTGTGAGCAAATTGAACTGGCTGGCAAATCTCAAATTTAACATTGTACTGTTCAACCTGACATAACTGAAACCTTAGAATTATTGAAAGGGGAGACAATACTTTTATAATATTTGCATCCATGAAGTAGCCATCCTTGGATAGCGTAGCAAATACAAATTGGGTTCCCTTGTGAGACACCTTAGGTGAATCCAGAACAGATGTTGGGCAACTAATTACATATCATACCATATCATGAGACTTCAAAACAAAATGAAACTGTATTACTCAATTACTCCATGCAGGTTTGTGTCATGAAAAGTGCAGTTGCACTGCGTGGAATGCAAATACTACAGTCTACTCCAGTGTGGACTCCAGCACAAACAGTCGTCTTGCACACCAAATAATTCCCGTGATCTCATAATTTTCATGTCTGACTTGTCCTTCTTGATAAAATCAAAACTAATTCTTGACATGAATCATCTTCAACAAATCTTGAACTTACCAACACTCAGCATTTTGGCCACAGAAAAATGGAATTTGTAGCCAGAGGTTTCCAGGATCACAGTCTTCTCCATTTCGATTGACACATTCATCAAATGTCTGAAAATCAAATGTCACAATTGTCAACATTTGTCGAGATGTGTTGAGGTAGGAAACAACTTTATCATGATACATACCTTATCCTCTACTCTGGACCATGACTAAATGACAAAAAAGTCTCTATTTCTGAACAGATGTTCTTTATGCAGCATCATGATCTTATTATTATTTTAATTCTTAACTCTTCTCATAAAGTTATAGGCATATACAAATCGTGTCCTTGTTTTCAAAAGGGCTCACAAATATAATGTTTTTGTACAATGTATTGATTGAGAGCATGTTGAGAACAGTTTACAGGTTTATTATGGTTTGAATATATTTTCTGTGTAAATACTGTGAACATTGTAATAATCATCAATTCTATTTTCCTTTAGTTTTCACACACTTCCACACAAATGTCCAGCAGAACACAGTAACTATTTTTTTTAAATTGCAACTGGCAAATGGATCAGAAGTTTATTGTGTTGTTACCTGTTGAAAAGACTGTCTATTTTCCCATGTTCATTTTGTATTTGATAGTATGAGCAACAGCCAATTTGGTTGAGGACAATGACACACAACCGACAAAGTCACTCAGCCTGACCACCTCATCCATAGTGTCACCTTTTTCAACAAGGTGAGGTGAAATGGGGTTTAACGTCGCGTCCAAGATTATTGCATTTATATAGCGACGTGCATATACGTGTGTGTGTTTGTGTGGCTGCTTGTACTAGTCCGGACTGATGCCGATTTATAGTGCTAGCTCACTGAGATACCATGCTGCAGTTAAACATGAATACCCCACTCAGACACAGTATACTGACTCCAAGCCGACCAGTCCTTGTTTTAGCCCCTTAATGCCGAGCGCCAGACAGGGTAACAACAAGTACCATCTTTTAACGTCTTTTGGTCTTTTTCAACAAGCAGGGGTCGGGGTCATTTTTCTAACCTACAATCCCATGGTGTTGGGGTACTAGATTAACAAAGCAGTAATGCTACGCTGCATCAGCATTCAACATGACCATTTTTCTTTGCTTTCTGTTAATGTGCTAATGTTTACCCAAAACAGTAATAGCAAGCTTACTCTCTATCAATGGTAAATTCATCAGACAATCCATACTGAATCCTCAATAATCTCAGAACATAGGTCCCAAAGAAATTCTCACCTTTCAGTTGAAACATTCTCTATCAATTAACAAAACAGGAATTCTCATCTTGCCCTAAAACGATTTGCAAGTCAATATTTGCCTCTATCCTCTCCTATATAATCAGGTTGTCAGAATTCATAACCCTTGTCTCTATTACACACCGCCTGTCTCGTCAGCGATCATCATTGCCAAGCAAATCTCCCATTGGTGTTTTGCAGGGGAGCTTTCTTGGCCCTATCAGATTAATGTTTCCCTTCGAAATATTCATGGCCCATTGTATCAGTGATTATAACCTCTCATTGTCTTCTTTGTAATCGTTTGAGAGTGTTACATGCGATCAATCATCAGAAGAGGTCCCAGATGTTTTCTGATGTGCTTGATGAAGCAGGTTCACGAAATACTGTATCAATTTCAAAAGCCATTTAAACTTGTGACATAAGAGATCAAGTTTCCGCAATACAACAGAAACATCTTTAACCTTTTTTGATGAACAAAGATCATTGTGCAAGCTTCCATCTGAATGAGATATTTGATGGAACATCAAATAACAGTCCTTCTGACACAGAAATGTGTTGATGTTAAATTCTACAGCATTATGATCTCTCCTTCATTTGAAACACATACATGATGATTCAGGGTTAAAATCCTATGAACAAAGACCATATATATATTCAAAACAGATACCCAAACTGAATGTGTGAATGGGTTTCATACCATCTCAGCTACACTTCTCAACAGCACGTGTACACATAGGAGTGAGTGAGTGAGTGAGTGAGTGAGTGAGTGAGTGAGTGAGTGAGTGAGTGAGAAAGCTTTATTACACCAGCAATATGTTAACAGCCTACACAGCGTAATACTCAGTGATCAAACGGGCAACTGAAGTGGCAAGGGATGAGCTGGAGTTTAAATGCTGCATTAGATATTATTTGTGTTTCAGCACAGGATGTCAGCATAACATGGGAGGTGGAACAAAGTGACACAGATTGACATTTAACAATGGCATGGTGCTCTTAGACCAACTATTAATATCAAGGCGTCTAGGGGTGTACTTGGTATTCTAATCCAGAACCAACCTGTTTTGTGCACTTTCTTTTAGCTTTTTGCATGTTTATCCAAAGAAAATGTACACTATTGTCTGGACCTATTTCATTTTGCGAAAATCTGCTTTATTATTACTTGATCACACAAGCAATGCAAATACTGTGCCCTAAATTGATGCGTTCTTCCAGAGCTAACTTGTGGAACAATGCAAATACTGTGTCCTAAAGTGATGCGTTCTTCCAGAGCTAACTTGTGGAACAATGCAAATACTGTGTCCTAAAGTGATGCGTTCTTCCAGAGCTAACTTGTGGAACAATGCAAATACTGTGTCCTAAAGTGATGCGTTCTTCCAGAGCTAACTTGTGGAACAGCGATAGATTTTTTAGTTAAATGTTGCCAGAAAGCTATACATTCTTAACAAGGGCAAAAACAGTTGCATGGGCAGATCAAGGATTTTGAACAGGGTGTGGGTGGTGACTTGGGCACAGTTAACAAGGTGTCTGAAAAAAGGAGGGGTGTGCAACCCCTGCACCTTCCCCCTCCTCATCCAACTGCAAAAAACATGTTGTCCCAGGACAATATTTACTATTTATTTTCATTGACATAATATGTACTCTTAAACATCTTAACCTGTCGCAAAAAATGTTTTGTACTTTTTAAAATATCTGCTGAGCTAATATTTATTTGTTTTATTCACATATACCATTTCAAGACATCTCTGTGCTCCACTAACAGATGTCATTCCTTCAATACATAATAAAATATTGATGAGATAGCCATATAGCAGGTTATTATTAGGACAATGGATGTGAAACATATATCTTGGTGAAACATCATCAATAGTCTGAATCATAATACTACTAGGTTTTTGAAAGGCATTTAGAAGTGATACACATAAGGAAGAGATTATGAAGGAGTAAGCATGTACTCCGAAACATTGTATTCCTTATAATAAGAAGTTGACATCCATAAATTCTCTTCCAGGAGTCATCGTATCCCAGTTGAGTGGATCGATGCTCATGATGTTAATCACTGGATTGTCTGGTCCAGACTCGATTATTTACAGACCGCTGTCATATAGCTGGAATATTGCTAGGTGTGGCGTTAAAACACTAAACAAACAAACAAACAAACCTGGCAAGTAATATGATGGGAGAAATCGGATGAGTCAACAGGAGGTGAGGTGAGGTGAAACTGGGTTTAACGTCACGTCCAAGATTATTGCACTCATATAGCGACGTGCATGTACATGTGTGTGATTGTGTGGCTGCTTGTACTAGTGTGTGAGTGAGTGAGTGAGTGAGTGAGTGAGTGAGTGAGTGAGTGAGTGAGTGAGTGAGTGAGTGAGTGAGTGAGTGAGTATGGCTTTATGCCGCTTTTAGCAATATTCCAGCAATATCACGGCGGGGGACACCAGAAATGGGCTTCACACATTGTACCCATGTCGGGAATCGAACCCGGGTCTTCGGCGTGACGAGCAAATGCTTTAACCACTAGGCTACCCGACCGCCCTCTTGACCTTAGAAAATATGTAATGTTAAATATCTCTTATTTAAATTGGAAGTTACAATAGTGTCTGAGGAACCAAGGTATTACTGAACATGTGATATGATCGTTTTTGTTATTACTATCTGCTTGACTTCAAAACCTTCCAAAACAATTGGTTCAAAACTATCAGCTGAAATATGTCATGATTCTAAAACTTACAGCTTTTCACAAGTATTCACCTTTCCTAAGATAGGAGTGAATAGATAGGATGGAATGAAGCTTGAAGCTCAACTGCAGGTTGAGGCATTTTAAAAAGATTCAAAGCAAGAGGCAAAAAATTAATTTGCTCCATGCATCATTGATGATATTTGTCCTGAAATGTAATTCTACCAGAAGTATAATCTAACACGTTCATATACAAAATATAATTTTAATGCCCGCATTATTGCTAAACGGTTTTACATTTCAAGATTCTTGAAGAAATAGGCTATTAAAGAACCCTGTATGATACAACATTGCTATTTCGCATGTTGAAACCAATTTCGAATTTTCTGGCTGCATATTGTGAGGAAGATTTAGTGCCTGACAAATAGCTGAGATAAAGAGGGGTCTTAAAGTGGGGAGAAATCCCTACAAAAAATTATGAACTTAAAATCAATTTTCCATTTTAATGTCGTTTCTTTCAAACGGAAATTATTTGAATTGTGCAGTAGGCAGCAAAAGGAGGACTGTTTGAATTCTGAAGAAAAACAATTTACTCTTAACTATTCTTCCAGAAAAGTAATGTAAGTCATTTGATACTATGAAAAATAATATGATACATTGAAAACGTCTATCTGTCAGGCTGTGATGACTAAATGGCATGTAATTCACCAAGGGCAGTTGTGACCACCTGACTTCTACCAGACACAACCTGACACAAAAACAAAGTAATATGTCATTTCCAAGGTTGACAAATAACCAAAAAATTACTGAAGATCATGCTTCCATATGCAATCAACATTGTAGTATAGAAATAAGCGTACACTATGCCATGGGGCATGTTGGAATTTTGATTATTCATATAGTAGTGAATAACATGGTTGGTTGGTTGGTTGGTTTGTTGTTTAACGCTGCACTCAGCAATATTCCAGTTATATGACGGCGGTCTGTAAATAATCGAGTCTGGACCTGACAATCCAGTGATTAATATCATGAGCATCAATCCACGCATATGGGATCGAATAACATGGAGGTTAATGTTAACTATAAAAAAAGAGAGTCCCATAAAGCCTTAAGAGATAGGCACTAGGGTCGCTTTATGTCATGAAAGAATCTGAGTTTACTTTTCCCCATTGCAGACAC